ACCATGCCATTACCAGTAAACTACTATGTTAGTAAAACTACTTTTATTGGGTAACTATCAAATTACTGTTCAGTAGTACCTCAATTATATATTATAAACCAAAAGAATACAAACACATGTTCTTAAGTAATTACATAGTAAATTATTGTAGTTACCAAGTAATTGCATAGTAAAATGTTATTGTGTATTATTAAATGTAAATACCAGGTAATAAGATGGTATTAGGGGACTGTAAATGTCTCACCTGATCCTGTCCTCTTCGACTGTCCTCAGCTGTTTGTCTCTCCAGAGCACCTCCAGGACCCTCTCTCTCTCCAGGACTTGAAGAAAACCTAAATTCATCTTCCAAGTTGTGTTTCTCCTCTCTGTCTGCTCTGCCTTCTGCTCCTCTGTCTCCTTTTTGTTCTGTCTCCTCCTCCTGATTGGGCCCGCCCCTCAGACCTCCTCTTTGGTCTTCTGGAGCTGAAACATCTAATAAAGGCAGATTGTAAAGGTCACTCCCCCTGCAGGTGTAAGACCCTCAGAATCAGACAGAACTCACTTTCCCCCTCATTTTTAATGCATCTGAACATGAGTGGAAACACTCATCCTCTGATATCATCTTTAATCTTATTTCTCATCACTTCTGATTAATTTCAGCCCCTCTGCAGTTTTTTTTTGGGCTTCCTCTCAGGGTGCTAACTTCCTGTCAGATCTCTGCTGTGTTTGCGTCACATTTCTTTCTGACAGAATCCAGCCTGTTTCCTGCTGCAGCGTGCAGCGCTTCAATGATGGCTACAGAACAAACCAAATGCCAGCAGCTGCATTATTGATGACTTGACGTCTGCCGCTGACCCAGTTTTAGTTTTTCTTTCGTTTTCTTTTGAACTAAACCAAACGCTTCATCTTGTGGGTGTTTTACTTCTGTCATGTGGTTGGAGGGCATGAAAGCTGAATCGAGCTCAATCACGATGCGCAAAACATAAATTAAATACTTGAAGCAAATGCTCAACCTCTGTATCGGTTGAGAAATAACTGCAATCTTGGTCAAATTTTGAAATAAGGTATGTGGAAATACTTCACGATTTAATTTTCCTCACAGCAGGGCTGGTTCTCGCTAATTTGTTGCCCCAAGCTAAACCTCACTGCCTATTTCTATACACTCACAAACTAAATGAAACAGTTTTGTATTTGATGTTGTTTTTTATTTCTAGAAACCAAGTATTCCAATTAAAATAGTTAATTTAACTCATTTGAAAAAGAATTTGCTGACGTCAACGAGGAACACCTGTTCATGTTAACCAGCAGCTGTGGAGTGAAGCAGTTCTAGGGGGGGTCCAGGGGTATACTCCCCCCAAAACTCTACATTTTTCAGCCATTTGAAGAGCTTTTTACTAATTCTTGGGTTTAATAAAACAATATGAAATCAGACTTTAACCTGAACTTTATCTGAGATCCTGAAACATTATGGAGGTAAATTTGTGTGGTTGATCAAACTTTTTTTTGGTTGAAATTATGTTTTAAATTGAAACTGCTTTTTTAGTTTAGTTGAATTTTTTTTTTGGTTGAAAATATTAATTTTGATTGAATTTATTTTTTGTTTGGTTGAAAAAAATTTTTTTGATTGAAATTATATTTTTTGATTGAAGATGCGTTTTGTTTGATTGAATCATAAAAACACAAATTTATCTCCATAAAACGTCCATGATTTTTATTTCTGCTTTCACGCTGAGCATCATGACTGCATCATGATACTATTTTTGTTTCTAGATGGACGGCATCATTAGCATTTACTTCCTGCCTAAGCCAGGGGCCAGTCCTGGCTCTCGCATCAAATTTTAGCTCAATATGTGTAAAATTAACAGAGTTAAACCAACTTTTGTGTTCGTTAGGTTTATCATTTACTTCAGTTAAGTCTTAAATGTGTTCATCCAGTGATTACTCTCTGAAAGCTTCACTAAACTGTCTGTACGAGAGATATTTTGCTAAAAGACAGACAAACGAGCACACACACAGACACAGGTAAAATAAATAAATTTTAAAAAAAGCTACATGGGCCCTGAAACAAAGCAGCCGGGACAAATGGCAGCTGGGTGTGGATGTGAGACGAAAACAACAAAATGATTTTAAAAATGTGAAAACAACAAGGAGAAAAACCAAAGTCAGACACAGAATGAGTCACGTCCTCTTCTGTGAGAAGCTGCTGTCAGATCTATAAATTCACTAAGAGCAGGGCTTCGTGACGACACATGATAACTGAAGATCTGAAAAGCAGCTGATGTCACCCGGAAAGCAGCCATGTATGGGGG